GTGTGTGTGTGTGTGTGTGAGAGAGAGAGAGAGAGAGAGAGAGAGTAGACATTGTGTGTGGTATGTTCAGACTTCGGCATTGCTTCTCCCTTGCGCGCTAAGTTGTCAGTTTGTTCTCAATGTCAAATGTTCCTCACTCTGTTTGATTCCTCTACAGCTTAGCAACCTTTTCCAGGATGAGACTGGGGCAACTGCTGAAATGCATGACAAAGTGGAAGGGAAGCAGCAAAGGCGGTGAAAACAGTGGGGAGAGAGAGAGGCAGGGGGGTGGTAGGTTGCGAGAGTTCGGCAGTTGCAGTATGGATTTGGGATAGACTTCTGGATTGCCGAGCGATGCAAGGATCCTTGTTCAACGCACATGATTGTGTTGATTCGTATGTAAGTGCTCGTCGGGGATGATGAAGTCCCAGCAGCCACGTATGAACATGTACTGATGAACCAATAGAATGTGGGTACATGCTTGTACAATTTATGATACGAGTGAATGCTTGTACAATTTATGATACCAGCTGAAGTTTTCGCTCTGAAAGGTCTGCCTTCAAATGCCCATAGAAAAGAGGTGGTTATTGTGTGGAAGTTTCTCGTTGGTACAATTTTTCGGTTCGTGAAACAGATTGGGTCCCAATCACTGGGTTACAAGTCACTGATGGGCAATCACTGACTGACCCTGACAATGGACACACATTTTGTTTCTTGTCCAAGCTCCGAAGGATTCACAGCAGGACTTGAACCTGTAACCTGCCACAGACAAGGCTAAACACTTGTCCAATACTGTGAGCCTTGGTCAAAAGAACTGGACAGGAAGAGTCTAGATCTGTGGGGAAAACAGAGTGACAGGGAGACTGTGAAGGGGTGAAACAGGAATAGTCAAGATCGGTCAGAAAGAGTCAAAGTGTGAGCCTTGGTCAAAGGACTGGACAGGAAGAGTCTACATCGGTGGGAAAAACAGAGTGAGAGGGGGACAGTGAAGGGGCCAGACAGGAAAAGTCGAGATCGGTCGGAAAAGCTGAGTCAGAGTGACAGAGTTGTGGTGAACGTGTGATGTCGTCCGGTGTTGGAGCTGAACAGGCAGGAGGTCCCGCAGTGGGAATTGGGTAGGCTTAGGAGAGGTGGTCCTGTAATGGGCCCGAACATGAGATGGAACAGGACAGGAGAGGTGATGTCGCGCGGGCATGTAACTTGACAGAGGAGGTGGGCCAGTCTTGGATGATCCTGGACAGGACAGCACACTGCTAGTCCAGTTGTGGAACCGGACGGGGAAGGTGAGTTGGTCCCATCATGGTGTCAAAGGACATGGTAGGTCTAGGAATGGGAATGAACAGGGCAGGTTCGATGGTGCAGTGATGGATAAGGTCTACTCACGGTCATCTTGTCACATTATTGGATGTGCAGCGGAAGTGGCAGCTAGTGTCAGGATGAGTGGGCACAACAGTGAGTGTGAAGTACGTGGGACATATGCGAAGAGTTGTGAAACTAAAACAGTGAGGGAAGGGTGGAGGGTTCCTGATGTGACAGGTTAAGACTGTGGGTGTTATGGAGTGTTTGAACTGTTAAGGGTTGTGGGAGTGACGATTTGAGGTTGCAAAGGGACGTTGTAGAATGGTCGGGAACACCAGGCAGTGTCAATTGCATCGAGAATGTGATTGGGTGTTCATTCTTCCGGTTGGCGTCATGGAGTCAAGGTTGTGAAGGCACGATGTGGGGAAATAGGGGGGGGGGGGGGAAGGGTGAGCAAGACTAAAGCAGGCAGTGGCAAATGCATGAAGAATGTTGTTGGATGCTGATTCTTCAGGGTGCAATCGAGTTGTGTGACGTCACTGAGATGGATTATAGTTATCTGCAAGACTGGAGAGCACCCTCATGCAGTGAACCGCATGCAATGATTCGGATGCAATGAACCATGGAGAGGGTTCGGATCCTAAACATAATAGACCTCCTTTGTCGAATTGCTACACCTCGACATGGTTGTATTATCCCAAGGCTGCCACTTGGATCTCTCTCTTCCTTGTTCCTATCAACTGTACGTAAACATAGTTGTATGAATTCCTTAAACCAGCACTAACCCCGCCGGCCTAAATTCGGCTTTCCTGGCCTTACGGACCGAGTTCTTAAGGGGGGGGGGGAGGAGCACCGGCAGGCGCAGGTGGGTCCGGTCCAAGCATTTTCAGTTGTCGACTTTGGTGATTATTCGCGCTCAGAAGAATTGAAGAACAAATCTGAAAATTTGAGAATATGTAGATTAGATTGTGATCTTCCTAGGAAAATATCAACAAAAAAAAAAAAAACATGAAATAAACTTTGTGTCGTTTCGTCACTTTTTTTTTTTTTTTTGCGCTCAGAAGGATGACTCGACAATTCTGCAAATTGATGGGCTTCTAGGTTTGGTCCAATATGTAAATTAAAAAAATATATATTGAAGACTGTGAAGTAAATGCCGCGTCAATTCGTCTCATATTCCGTTTCTGCTGCTCTATCGCCTGTTGGCCAACGGGAAAAGTACCCACTTAAGCAATTTTTCACGTCCAGTACAATACTCCAAAAAGTTTGAAAATTGGAGGCTCTGCAGATGTCGTCGTGATCTTTTAGAAAACAATATTTAAAATTTTACAAAAAATATTTCGACCGCGAAATAAATCGTGGGGGCAATTCGATGCATTTTCCAATTTTGCCACTCCGCAAGTTCCCCCCATTGTGCTACCGGTAACCGTCATGGATCTTGGTTACCGGTCTCACTAATTGAGGACGGCGGGGGTAGTAGTGGTTTAAGACTGCCACTACACTTAAGTCTTTCGAGTTCTTCTTTGCTGCTCTCCCAGAAAGAACAGGGAAAAGAAACAAAGTTGTGGCCGTGAAACTGAAAAAAAAAAAGGGAGGGGGGGAATAGGAAACAAAGCTTGGGTCGTGAAATGTAGTTGTATACATTCTTGGAAGGAGTACTATGAGTGTGCCCTCAGTGAGGACGTTTCAGCCCCGTGGCCAGGTTGTCAGATTCCAGAACGACAAAGAAGGGGGGGGGGAATGAAAGTACGGATTCGGCCCTGAAAATGTCTGCATACGTTCGTCTAAGTGCCAGTGTGATCAGGGTTACAGTCATGTGAGGAAACACAGTCTGACCACATTACGGATCTCGTCCTGCCTCGTTGGCAGGAGACCTATAAGAATGAGAAGAGAAATGGGGGGGGGGGGGGGGGAGAGAACATTCAAAATCTGATCGTTTGAGTAGAAAGATTCATTATGTGGAGGACTACTGTGAGCACGGTTTCCTAGACTAGCCTGCCTAACATCATCGTAGTAGAGAAAGTAGTTTTTTTTATTGCTTTTCCTTTCATGTGCGGGCAATATAAAACTGAACTTTATGGGACTTGCTGAGCCTGGTGGGACGTCTGAATTATTCGGGAACGGGCAGTTTCCCCTAACTTCTCAACACTGGCAGAGATGCTGAGCCTGGTGGAACGGGCAGTTTTCTCTGATTTCCCAACGTAAGCAGAGGTACTAGTGGTTAGGCTGCCACTCGAACAACTGTACATGAACATGGTTGCAGTAGTCCCTTAAGGTTCCACTAGGGTCACGACATGGATACATATTGTCCCACGAGGTGCCTTCATTGTGATTGTGATGAACTAGACTGATTGCTTGTAACATTGCTATTGTGATGAACAAGATAGATTGTTTGTAACGAGTGTGTCTTTTAAATTGGGTCATTTTATGTTACGCACTTTGAAAAGTGAGTCACTTAAAGAGGTCGTTTACCATTCCAATTACTGGAAGTTATTGGGAATACCTACTATTTTTTCTTTTCTATGCATCTGCCCCAAAAAAAAAAGGAGCATAAGAGGATAGGTAGCCCAATTAATGTGTTATTTAAAGATGTCTATAATGAATGGGTTGAAGGACCTCCTTAGGTCACCTAAGTTGGAATGGCGAAATGAGAAGAAAATTTAAAAAACACAATTTTAAACCCACCAATACATTGCCTAGGTAATATTGATAATCAATATCAAGGGAATCCCTAAACATCTGGGGGCTCGTGGCTACCAGACCACAATGGATGACGACACCAATAAAAAAAGAAAAACGAATATGGTGTTAATACGCCATGGCAAAAAGAGGCGCGAATGTACTTGTTCTTTCACAACATGCATATTTGTATGCACCTACGACAGATGGGCATTGTGTTTAGGGGAAATTTTCACAACATGCATATTTGTATGCACCTAAAACGGATGCGCATGTGTTTAGGGGAAAAAGAGGTAGGGCCCAATCCCTAGGCCATACTCAATCTCGTACACCCTTGACACCATTGGATCTTAAACTAACACTTCCTTCATATTTCAAAATTGTACTGGATAAGGCAAGGATGGTTTGAAGTCGTTAAAATAGTATAACGGACAGCAGTTAGCCACTTGAAGCCTTCCCTTTGTAGTTTCAACCCTGTTGGTCATCTACCATAGTCCAAGCTCAAAGG